TTATCTTCTTCTTATTCTAGATTAACTAATATCCCACTGTACATTAACTGCCATAAAAGGAGACTGGATCCTTCCAATATATCATTCTTTTAAAAATTGTTTTAGTTATGTTGATTCTTTTGTCTTCTCTTAAATTTTAGAAAAGAAACATCTAATCTATAAAAACCTTTATGGAATGTTTTTAATTAAGTTAGTTCTTTGACAATTTCACACATGCATGTAATTCATTCTGGTAACTGTCTACCACCTCTCTCTCTGACTCTGTCTCCCTCTCTGTCTCTCTGTCTATTTTATTAAGAAAGGATTTCTCTGTTTAGTCCTTGCTGTCATGGAATTCACTTTGTAGAACAGGCTGGCCTTGAACTCAGAGATCTACCTGCCTCTGCCTCCCGAGTGCAGGGATTAAAGGCGTGCACCACCACCGCTGGGCCTCACAACTCTCTCATCGCCCTCTCAACTCTATCAAATCCCTTCTTCCCTACTGGCCCTTTCCCCAGATCTCTGACTTTGGTTCTATTGTGTGATGGAATTTTAATGGGGATTTTCTTATGCCTGTAATCACTTTGGAGAAAACAGACAGTTTGCAGGGTTGAGTCTCCTAACTCAGGAGCAAATTATACCTTCATGATTAGCTATCTTTCATTTGTTTCATTAAAACTATGTAATCTCCAGGACCAAGGGAATTAATCATACAAGTTTGAAGACATGAGTTCAGATTCCTGCAACCCATATAAAAACCAGATCCAGGTTATGTTTGAGGCCCCAGCACTCCTGTGGCATTATGGATGTGGAGGTAGGGAGCATCTCGAAGAACCTCATAGGCCAGATGGTCTAGGGTACATGGTACAGGAGACACCAAGAGATAACTGCCTCAAACAATGGAGAAGGTGATTATTGAGCCCTAAGGCTGTCCTCTGACATCCACATGCACACTTCTGCGAGTGCATGCCCTCACACAAATAAACAAATAAATAATAAATATTTTTTACATTAAAATTATGTTGTTTTCAGCACACAAGCTCTATGTATATGTTTTGTGAGATTTTGCTACAAGGATTTCAGTTTGGATGAAATTATAAATGGCGTTGGATTTTAATTTTGGTGTCCATATATCTATAATGGATTTTGTGCACTAATCTTACATCCTGCTCACTTTCCGTTTCCTTTCTATACCTTTCTCTTTCCTGCTTGGATCTTTGAAAATTTTGTTCAGTAGTCTGTATATAGGCAAGGAACCAATTAATAAAATTAAACCTATAGTAATAAAAGGATCCAAGCAGAGAAAAGTATAGAAAGGAAGCAGAAAAATCTCTCACTTGGGTGATGATATTGTTTCCCTAAGCACAGGCATAATTGTCAGACTTTCTCCTTAACATGCAGAGAAAGTTTGAAATATCTGCTCCCATTGTTCCATCTAATATCACACTGGATGCCTTATCCAAGGTGATAAGGCAAGAAAAAATAAAGAATATAGACCACAAATAAACAAACTGATATTCTTTTCTGATAATTTAATTGTACTGAAAGACTCCCAAAGAACTTAGGATCCTATAATAAAATGAGTTTGGCAAGATTATGGAATATAAAATCAACACAGAAAATGAGACATACTTTTATGTAGTGGAACACTTGAATTCAAAATAAAAATCCCACCTGAAATATTACATAAATTGTGGAAATTATACACAGATATAAACTTAATGATAAAAACATATAGATACAAACAATGTGTACAGTCAGTGTACCAAAAGATACAAATTACTGCCAGTCTGTAAAGAGTAAAGAAATGGTGATCCAGGGCCACACTTGCTGGGAAAACCTTCATCTGTGTGGTTCCCTGACCCTGTAAGGTAGAAGACCCTGAACATTCAGAATAGGAAAGATTCCCAGAATCTCTTCCACATAATGTCTAATAAGTTATTTCCACAACTTTTCCACATTTCAAACCCAAGTTCATTGCATTATTCCCTAGAGGAAGGTGACATTCTAACATAAGGAAAATATAGAAAACATCTAGTCATTTCTCATCAAAATCAAACATTGAAAAATATCTAGAGAAACGGAATTAGTTTTTCATTAGTGTTATGAATAAGAAGAAAAATCTCCCAGAAATGTATTGATAATAATTACTTGTTCTTTTACAGGTCTACAAGCTTAAAATGTTAAGTATATGGAAGTTGAATCTGAATAGGAAATAGTTTAATAATAAATATTTTAGTTATGCAAACATTATTAATAAGCAAAGTAATATTAACATTTGTAAAATGTAGACTTTGAGCTAAATAGTGCAAAATTCAACATTGCTTAAGTGTCCTTAAATTGCAAACTACTATAAAGAGTTTTGTGGATCTCATATATATCTTTACTAATTTACTGGCAGAAAAATGAATTAAAAAAGCAAGGGTGACCTTGTTCTGTCATGGAGATTTACCTGGTTTTCTCATATCACATTTGTGATTAGGATTTGAATTTCAGTGTTATTTTTAGCAATAGTAAATTAATATTACTTTCATGTATATGTTCCTATTTGTACATTAACACATGTATTTACACATGTGTATTGCATAAAGATTGATATGATGAGGAGTAAAATTTAACACTGATTTTCCTCAGTCAGTGTCTCTATGGAAACAAGGCAACTGACAGAAACATAAAATCCAAATCCCCTTGCAATGACATTGGCATAATTTTCCCAGACAAACAAAATAGCTGTGTTCATGTTCAAAATTATAGTTTCACAACCCAAACTAATGGTTCATTTAGAACTCATCTACTTTCTAATTTAGGACAAATTCAATTTTTATTAAAGTTAATTTATTTTAAATTTCTCCTTGAAAACCCATTAAATCAAACATAATATAATGCATATGAACTATAGTCTGTGAATAAATTCTAGATTTCCGATGGTCTGGTACATGGTTCAGGAGACAGTGTTCACTATCAAATTTTAAACTTAAAGGTTTAAATGGTGGACACTTAATATAGTCCTTAGGGGTTGTATAAAAATGGCTCATGGATCACAAATCAAAAACTGATAATGGTTTGAAGTAAAATAAACAAACTAGACCTAATGAGTTATGTTAAACCAATGGCTATTGAGTACGGACAAGAAATGGATTCATTGAAGGTTTGGGTACTTAGTCATCACAATAGCACACATCAAATAAATTTTAACTATACAAATTCATCAAGTTGTCTACAGTGGTTGGGGTTGGGGAGAAAGCCCAGAGGGTAAAGTGCTTGCATCACAAGCACGAGGACTTGAGTTTGGCTCCCCAGAACCAGTATAAAAAGCCACGCTTGTTACCCGACCATGGAGGGATGACACAGGCAGATCCCAGGGGTCTACTGACCACTGAGTTTAACTGAAATCGGGGTAACATATTCAGTGAGAGACCCTGTCTAAAAAGAGAAAGATGGAGACTATCACTGAGGAAAATGCCTGAGGTAAACTTCCAGCCTTCACATGTGTGTACGTATATAGTATCTGCAGTTCTTTCTTTGCATCAGTCATATCACCTGTTTAAAAACAACTGATATCTAATCAGGAAATTAAGCATTAAAAATTGAATATCCATTTTCATCTTAAACAAGAAAATATTTTGATATATTGACTGAAGTCTTGATGTATATTTGCTCTTTCATGTTTTCCAAAATTATTCTTGAGTAATTAATGCTGTATATATATATATATATATATATATATATGTAAATATATATATATATTTGACTATATATCAAATATTGCTGTACTCAATATATTATCTCACTTACTCTTCAATGTAATTAAAAAAAATAGGAATGACTGTAATTACTTGTTTAGATGCTGTGTATATTTTGACACCCTTTTAGGAATTCTATAAAATATATGGAATTGTGATTAAGATGTGGACTCTGGAATCAACAGATAATTTGGGAGAATAGCCCTACCATGTGCTCCTGGGACACTAAATCCATATAGATCACACAACAATGCTGGAATCTCAGCTAATGAATTTTGACAAAAAACTGCATGGCTTTTTCTCGATAAGCAGGGGAGAAAGTACTTTGATACTCTCATTTATTTGCCTTCCTATGCAACTTACATTCTAGATGATCCATGATCTACATACCACATACAGAGCTGAAGTATACAAACAAATGGATCATCAGCAACAATGGCTTCTCAATTCACTGGTCCCTTTTGTTTTATTGTCATCCATTTTGATATACTGAATAAAAATTCAAGCTCTGTGGCTGAAGAGATGGCTCTTAAGAATGTAATGTGTTGGAGACCAAGCATTTAATATATTAAATGTGGCTGGAATGTCAGACTTAAACTATAATGGATAATATTATAATTGTTTTAAATATTCTTCAGATTAGAAATGCCAAGAACCTGGAGGAAGGAGAAATGCTACTTACTGGCTTGCTTCTAATTCTTTGCTCAGGCTGCTTTCTTATAGCATCAAGACCATAAGCTCAGGGGTTGCAGCATCCTCACTGGCCTACTCTTGCCTACATCATTCATCAATCAAGAAATCCACCACAAACTTGACCATAGGTCAATTTAGTGGGAGCATTTTTTTTTCAGATGAGGTTCCCTCTTGTAAGATGACTCTAGCTTTTGTCAAGTTGACATTTTGTCAAGTCAGCATAGTGAGTAAGAACAGAAAGCTGACAGGACAATGCTAGTGTTCTCGCTCTCTTATCTTTCTGCTTATATTCTGTCCAGGTCCCCAGCCCACATGTGCCATTCACATTCAAAATCAGTCTTAACACTAGTCTTCTCTGAGAATGTCCTCAGGGGCATGCTCTGAGCCATGGTCAACAAGACAATGTTTAATCATCATATAACAAAGCATACACACACAATAAGAAGTTTCTACAGGGAAGGAATTTACTAATAACATGTGGTTGAGGAGATCATGGAGTTGCAATTGTTGGTTAAATCTACAGTCCACAGATAACTTGCAGGAGGGTTGGATGGAATATATTCCTAAAGTAGATTATCCACATACCTCTAGGGTGATGACGGGGTGCTCGTGGGAAGCTTCCATTTCTCTCCACTTAAGTGAAGAGCTTTGTGATGGCATTGACATTGCTTCCTTTGAAGAAGGCAATCCAGATAGTTGTTGTCCTTGGTAAGGACCTAGCTTGGAAGCCACAAGCATCATCTCTCTGTGATGTATTCTGTTGCAAAGAAGTGAGACACTTAGAGCCACGAAGTCCCCTCCAGTGAGGTTAATCAACAATAGTTTCATGGAATGTGTGATTCAAACACTCTTAGCTCTTTATTTCATTTAATATTTATAGAATATATAGCATGAACTGATATACTATAGAAATAATATAAAATATCTTATAAAAATTGCCTCTCAGGCTAGCTCAAAGGCTCACTGGGTAAAGGTGCTTGCCACCAAGCCTGACAACCTAAGTTTGATCCATGGGACAGAGTAAAAGGAGAGGACAAATCCCCACAATTTACCTCTGTCCTCCACATATATACATGTAGATTTACATATACATACACACAAATGCAATATATAAACATAAAAAGAAACTACCTGTCAACATAAGACATTATAAATACCCATATTGGCATGGAAGAGCTTTATTTTATACACAATGATCATAATGGTCCATTTCAGCTTCTGTAGCAAACAACTCAGACCGGATAATTAATAAACTGGGATTAGTTCTTAAATTTTTAGAAGCTAGGAAGATTCGGTGTCTAATGAGGCTCATTCCTCTTACATAATACAACTTGTGTGCCCTCCTGTACCAAAACTAAACAAGATCCTCCCATGACCTTTTATAAGGTCACTAACAACATTAGTCACCTCCAAAAGGCTTCACTTCAGGGCCTCATTTCCACATGTGACATTATGCCCACAGTAGTGATTCTACATATCTGAATTATTGTTCTGTATGCTTGAGATCTGGATAATAAAGACAGAGTACAAGAAAATACCGAGAGAGAGAGAGAGAGAGAGAGAGAGAGAGAGAGAGAGAGAGAGAGAGAGACTATAAGTCCAACTTTGTGCAATGACCTATATTTAGTGGTGAGGATCAACTGTATTATAGCTACAATATGGTGAACAAGGAGGAAAAAGATTAATATCAGAAACCTAAGTGGAGCAATTTCTCATTCAAAGGTTGGAAGTGTGTGTGTGTGTGTGTGTGTGTGTGTGTGTGTGTGTGAAGAAGTGAATTTCTTCACTAACATAATATTCTGGAGGAACAAAAGACATGGTAAAGGCAGAGTGTACCTGAGGTCAGAGATGTCAAACATCTTACACTATGAAGTCATGCCCTGACACATCTCTCACATTAAAAACTTAACCCCATGCCCTGCCTGCATCAATAGATTTACTATTGAAAAAGACCGAACTTTGTATACTATGATAGAAGCTTTTTAAAAGATTTTACCAATGGAATGAACTAGGCCAACAGAGAGACAGGCAGACAGACAGACACAATTCTATGGAATTAATATCTTGGGGGAAAAAAAGTAAAGAAAATAATGGGGCCCACTGCCACACAGCTCACTGAACATAGGGAGGTTGAGCTTGTGCAGGGATGTGTTGCATGAATCCTAAATTGTCTTATAATAAAATCCGAAGCCAGATACTAGGCTAAATGCTAAAAGATCAGAGGAAGCAAGCCACAGCTACTTCTCACCTCACCAACTCCTCAGCCCATTCTGTCTCCATAAATCCTCAGACTGAATGCCTCTGATCCTCAACCAAAAAGGGCACTCAGGTTCCTATCTCCTCATGCCTTATATGCCTTTCTCCACTCACCATATAATTTCCTGCCTCAACCTTCCCAGTGCTGGGATTAATGGCGTATGTGCTTCCTAAATACTTGTAGCAAAGGCATGAGATCTCAGATGCTAGGATTAAAGGCATGTGACTCCCAAGTACTGGGATTAAAGGTGTGTTCCACCACTACCTGGCTCAGTTTCTATTTTAGACTGGATTAATTTCATGTAGCCCAGTGTGACTTTGAATTCACAGAAATCCAGATGGATCTCTACCTCTGCCTCCTGAGTGCTAGGATTAAAGGTGTGTGACACCACTGCCTGGCATCTATGCTTAACTTTGTGGCTGTCTCTGTCCTCTGATCTTCAGGCAAGCTTAATTAGAGTACAACAAAAAATCACCATAGTAATGGAGTCTTCACTCCTAAGTTCTGGTCTCTTTGACCTGAGAAGGTACTCTGCAGGCTACAGAAAAAGAAAGCTGCTCACCAACCCAGCCACAAAACCCTCCACCTACAATCTGTCCTGTCTGCAAGATGTGCTGGGGCAATGATGGTGCAGAACTTGCTGGGTGGCCAAGCAATTTTGGTTTAACTTGACCTACGGTAGGACCGAACACAACTGGAAAAAAAATCAATGAAATGGTTCCTAATGATGCTCTCCTTTTGTCATAGATTGGTGCCTTGTCCAATTTTCATCAAAAAGGCATCTTCTAGCAGCAGATGGGAGCTGGTACAGAGACCCATAACCAGATATTATGCTGGGGGTCTCCATCTGGTCTCTCCCCTCAGAGATCAGGGAACCCACAGATGAGGGGGAGGAAAAGATTGTAGGAGTTAGAGGGGATGGTGGACACCAGGAGGACATGGCCCACTGAGTCAACTCAGTGGGACTCCTACGGGCTCACAGACAAAGAATTAGCAAGCATGGGGCCTGCATGGGTCTGCACCAGGTCCTGCACATATATGTCATAGCTGTTATCTTGGTGTTTTTGTGGGACTCCTAACAGTGGGAGCGGGTGTTTCTCTGATGCTTTGGACTGGTCTTGAAACTCTTTCCCTTCTATTGGGTTGCCTTGCCCAGTCTTGACAGAAGGACTTCTGCCTTGTCTTATTGTATCTTGTTTTGTCCTGTTTGGCTGTTGTCTCTGGGAGGCCTGCTTTTTTATGAAGAAGAAACCAAGTGGGAGTGATCTGGGGGAGAGGGGAGGGGTGGGAGATGGGACTAGGAGGAGCGGAGGGAGGGTAAACTGTAGTCTGGATGTATTGTATGAGAGAAGAATGTATTGTCTTTCTTTTTTTAAAGAATTTTTTTATTGATTCTTTTAGAATTTCACATCATGTACCCCAATCCCACTCATTTCCCAGGCCCTCTATATCTGTCCTTCACTCTTGTAGCATCCCACAAAGGGAAAACTTAAAAAGAAATAATAAAAATTAAATTAAAATAAAAATAAGAATAATAATAAAAATGAACAAACAAAAAAAAGAGTGAAAAGTTATATGATCTTGAAGTATACAATCCAAGCAGAACTCTATTTATAACCCCAGGAATGTGTCACAGCTACTTAAGAGAGTGTCTTTGATTAGTATTTATCAACTTAAGTTGGTTCCACTTAGAACCTGAATGGCTTCAAGCCTAATCTTACAAACAAAACTTACACATTATCTAAAAGAAGAGATTAGATCTCATCATGAACACATGGATCATAAAACTCAAATTCTCTTATCATCTGATATCATTTTCACACTTAGTACAATTACAATATATCTATCAACCAGATGTCAAACATTTATAGTCAACCACAGAGTTTATGCTAGAAATGTAAAGTGAATCTGTGGGATTTGTATGAGGACATATAATTGAACCATTTTAAATACCCAATAGACACACTTTTTCTTAAGTCTGGTACAGAGTTACTAATACCTGGACTATTTATTTCACCAAATGGGCTTGAGTTCTGCTCATCTACTGTGTAGCCATTATCATTTTCAGTGTTTATGTCACCATTTAACAATGTGTCACGTCATCTTAACAGGCTTAATGTATTTAATGGCCATATATTTTCAGCAAAGATTGATGTTACACACTGGGCATTTTTGGTGGTTCTTGTGGTCACATCATTGCTTGTTTCTACAGTGCTATGAAAACCTAAAACCTCACATAAGTCCTTCAGTGGGACTTTGTCCTGTGACCCACCTTCTTGTTTAGTTTCCATCTTGCTCAGTTCTTTTATCCAACTTTTATAGACAGAAAGCTGCAAAATCCTAGTCAGAACTGTGACTTTGGCCACCAGAGGGAAGAGCCACAAAAAATGCCTGCTAATGATAAACCAACAAGGTAGTGAACAAAATGGGAGCAAGTTATTGGCACAAATGCACACATCACACTTTGAGCAATCCACACTACTAGAGCAGTGGGCCATGCCCAATGGCCAGCAGCTTATTGCCTCAAAGGAGATATTCCTTATATGAGACCAGTGAAGAGGCTAGAGCTTCATAAGTACACCAACAGAAACAGCTAAAGCCAATAAGTCTGACAAAGATGAGAATGTGAACACCCAGCAAAAGCTTATTGAATTTAGCCTCTTCCAACATTCTGACTTTTATCCTTATTACACATTAAACTTACTACTTCACAATCTTTCCTTAGTTTGCCCAACATATGGATTAAAATCTAAAATAGCAGCTTATTTTCTGCTGTTTCTATGTTAGAAAGTCTCAGTAGGTGTTGGAATCTGCATTTGCATTTTCTTCACCAACAATTTGAGATTATTTTTCCACACTTCTTTGCTGGCAAACAAATGTGGTGCAATAATTATTCCTGATTATTAATGACCTCTGTATTCCAAGTTGGCACAAATGAAGGTTGTTTTCTTTTCCACTCATCTCAGATGTATGCAGCACGGCCTGCTGACCATGGATGATAGAAAATGAAACTACATCTCTGTCTGTTTATCATGACAAATAGCTAAGCACTCAAGGCATGTGTTCTGACAATACCCAGCAGCTCCACCATCACCAGGCCCTGTCTCTTAGCATGAGTTTCCAGGAAATAGACTCTAAGACAAGAACTGTATGCAGACTCTGGGAGAAGAACCGGGAGTTGCCCTCAGATGACACATGTGGAAACTGACATGCCTCATTACTGAAAGTAGGGCGTTAAACAGCTCTTTGCAGAACTATGCAGATGGGACAGGCCTTCAGAGTTGTCCAAAATCATGAAAAAAAGTGGTTGGACCTTTGTACCTCTACTCTTTAGAGAAGCTGATCAAGAACTCCTCTTGGGAGAGGAAATTCCTAATGAGAAACAAAACTATAGTCAGCCATGGTATTTCCAGAAACTGATAAGAGAAGTAACTGTGTAAGGCATCCATAAAGAAGAGATCTCAAATTCCATACAGACCTCCAGAAACATTAATTCCATG